GGCACGTACGGGGAAAAAAGGAGTTCTTGAAGACGTTTGTTTTACATGAAAATTCAGCGACTTTCATTGGGCGATTGGATCGTGTTGGGCGGCAAATGCTCGGTTGGATGTATGCTTCCTTGTTAATTTGAAGTCTATCGTTATACATCAAATAAAAAAATTTTAGCCGATCATGATAACGTCTTACCGCAAGGCTTTCCAAACCGGCCCTGCGGAGAAGACTCGTAGGAGACGTTTTCCAGCTGTATGAACTGTAAACAAATCGCGCGGCTTTTCTTTGTATGCTCTCAAGCTTATTGGTATTAACTAGAGTGTATGGGTCCCAGATAATTGAAGCATATTCTAATAGTGGTCTGATGTAAGTTTTGTAAGCTAGCAGTTTGGTATCCTGAGAAGCTTTCGGTAACATTCTCCTTAAGTATCCCAGTTTTCGCATTGCCTTTTTCTGAATGTACGTCACTGTGTCTGAAAAGCGCGCCCTTTTGGCAAATAGAGACTGTGCAACGATTGCAGTGACCTTTGTGCACCTGGTAACTACAACATAATTGTTCCGGTGAAAGCCCAAAGCGTACGATTGTCCCCCACTGTGAGATAAGCAAGCACACACGTGAGCGGCCACTCTGCCCCCTTTCCGCGGGTCAAAGTACACGTGGGAGATGAGAGCGCGCGTTGCTGCGTTGTGAAGATGTGGCGACGCACGCTCATTGTGCCATCTCGTTGGTAATGCTGAAAACACGGTAGTTCCTCTCGAGATGCCCATCACTAGCTGTAAGTGGTAGATGTAAATAGCTTGCAGTTTGAACGTTGAAGGAGGTGCTCTTTTGTGGCTCAGTGGCTAAGGCCTCGCACTCAGAATTCAGAGGTCCGACGTTCGATTCGGCTCGCGGGAGTCTTTTTCTGGATTACAATTTATTTTTATATCTTTACGTTTTCATATTAGATATATATATACATGTACGGTGAATGACGCCGACGTCGGCGGCAAAATCTAGTTGAAAGTGGTCATATAATTGCTATTGTAAAAAAAGTAAAATATGAGGTCAGTCTGTGTGAATGGAGCTTGAACATTAAAATAATGCTCAATATGTGTTGAAATGTGTGGTCAAGTTAATTATTATGTGTAGTTGTTTGTGGTAGATTTTATGTCTGGGCTTTTAGTGTCCATCTAAATGAACACTTTATAATCATTGAAACGCTTGTATATGTGGTGTACTGAGTCTATCTTTTGTTACATTGGATTCTGCTGTATATATTATCTGTTGTAGATTTGAAATAATGAGTGTTAATATAAAGGTGGTGGGACACTGTCTTGGATTAAAAAAATATGTCATTAATATGCAGGAAGTTGCACGTAGATTTACTCAAGTTCGAAACTTGCACGGAAACACTATAGGTGCTGCATGCGATTGACCTGCAGTAATGTAATCAATTTATCTTACTATCATCAATTGATTGACATTGGTGTAAGAATTGCCTAAATTGAACACTTCTTGTGGACAGGATGGGTACATGCTTTGCTAATTAAGAGGACTCTGACAACACATTTTCTAGCTATCATAAAATTTCTAAATGTTGCACTCTGTCATCTCACACGTCTGCTGTAAAAATATGTTGAATCTGTCAAGTATAACCCCCCTCAGGTGTTAATTATGATGCACTATGTACTGATGTGTATCATTCACATATTATTTCGTGTCACTCAATATAACATTGTAAGAAACAAAAAAATGAAAGTAATGGGCTGTTTGGCAGGTTTCTCAAATTAATTGTAATTAGAATAAAATTATATATCTCATTATTCTGCAGTCAGTGAAGTTCCAATTCGAACATAGGAAGAATGAAATAATAAGGTTCGAGTGTGTGTGCAGTTAGATTTTTGGTTGCATTCACTTTGAGGAAAAGAAAGTAATACTTTTCTTGTTGGTTTTGGAACACAGCATGTTGAGTGACCCGTCAAAAATCGCAGTGCCTTCGACGCAGTGGTTGGCTACAGTCATATACAGTGCACCGAGTTCAAATCAATACATATTCACTCTGCAGAAGGTAAAGTTAAACCACTGAGCAATGCATCTTGCTCTTCTTCAGCTGCAAGTTGAAACATATAGCATAAAAGGTTGCCCTCGTAAAAAGCAGTGTTCTTGTTACCCAATGCAGCATATTTTGTAGTCAAGACTAAAGAAGGTGGATATTGGTGTGCAAAGGTGGCTTCATGGCAGTGCTTATAGCTATGCAGAGAAGCTAGCTTTGCAGCAATATGTTGGGAATATTTTTTGAAAATTCCATGCCAATCATTGCTGAAAGCATAGGTGACATGCAAGAAAATACGGTATATGTTGGTAAAGTGGGAATGCCATCATAATATTGTAACTATGCCACAGGGTCCCGATTTCTCGTTGGACCTGCCGTCTGTAGCTGGCACTAGTTTCTGTATTGATTGTACATTGACCCCCTTATTTCTGTTTTCAGGTTCAGGTAAAATGGATTGAATTTTGAATCACTACCACCGGGCTTGAAGGGAAGTGAGGACAGCACTCCGCTGCTTTATAGTTTTCTTGCTTTTCAGACGGTTATCAAAAGGGACACGCGCCACCAATTCACTACCACCGGACTTGAAGGGAAGCGAGCACAGCACTCCTCTGCTTTATAGTGTTTTTGCTTTTCAGACGGCAATTTATCAACACGGACACGCAGCCCGACCAGGAGATGTCACCACTAACGCCTTTAAAACTAGCACGCCAAGGATGACACGGCGCCTTTGAAAAAGATAGGTGCTCTTATCGAAACGTCAGCCAGCCAGTCAGAGACACTTCCACTGTTAACCCTGATTATCCCATTACGTTGTTTCCTTCTGTCAGCTCCGATCTAGATTTTGGATCTTCTTTTGTTTGTAAAATGCAACTTAAGAATACCAAAAGGCACCACTCTTGCCACCAGAGACATTATACAATGGCACGACTTTTACATGCTTTCAAGCAGAAACTTTCTATATGAACACAGCCAGCAAGCAAACCTTATGTGGTAGTGATGTTACAGCACACTGCACTTCTGTCCATAAGCTCACTAATTAACAACTGACATGAGCTTTCAAAATCATTATTGCTTCCACCTTCAATAAAAGTAGGTTTGCTTACTAAGCCGTGAAGAGAGGAGAAAATGCGCACTGAATGGATGTCACCAAGCAGCCAAAACACACCACGGAGAAACCAATGCAACATGTGGTATGTCCATCTGTGCAGCTGTTGCATCTCGCCGTTGCAGCGAAAGATCAAGTGATGTGGACTTGTGGCCTAATGCGGCCGCTCAACAGAAAATATATTTTGCACTAAATACAAAACTGTATCGCAGAAACTTTCATAGACAAAATTTTTTTTTATACTCTTTCAAATGAAGTCAACCATGTATTTTAATACGGAGCAAATCACTAAGCTACAAGTGCCTGAACATAAGGAATTTTGCACATTTTTCAATGCCACTTCAAAATTTTACCAGTTCAAAACTATTCATTTATCCATCAATATTTTTCTGCTGCACTCATTTCCATCCACGTGTACAATACTGTAGTTCCGTAAGGTTTTGTCTGAAACGCAGGTTTCGGCCTGCACTGCATTATTTAAATCACTGTAACACACAAGAACCATCCTTCTTCTAGAAATAGGTTTTAAGTATGAATAGTCCAGCAAAAATATATGACCAAAACGTGTTGTTACACATTTGGAGGGGGTCAAGTTCCAAACTAAATGTGTAGGACATTTGGCGTGGAATGAACCACCTTAACTTCAAAACTACTTAATACAGTTATCGAGTAATAATGCTGTCTGTTCAATTGACTAATGTTTTACTTTAGTGTCTCTTTAACTAAGTATGGTAAAATTGAATAAGTGAATGATAAACATGTCACTGTAGAAATGCAGGCTTCTGGTGAACATGATGGCGTATATTGCTGTGCATTATGTCGCCATTTCAACGGGAATATTTGAAACGCAGACAAAATTGCCACAAGCGCCATTTCCTGTGGGCAGGATAATGAAACCATGGGAGATGCATATCACTGTATTTCAAATGCTGGCTACTGGTCTAACAGCCGACCCGTTATTGTGCATGGTGTACGTCTGCTCACATGGCCTTGAGGTGAAAGTGAGGCGTTTTTGGCACAAAATGCTGTATGAACTGCAGGAATATTTTGCTCACATGTTTAGAAGACTTGACTACAGATCAGCAGCGTTTTCTCAGTATATTAAAAAGGATGTTTCAGGGCCCCTTTAAATGAGTAGACTCAGACAAGCACGTACACGAATGGACAACATTGGCAAGACCAATGAATGCTGTTTGGTGTGGTCACCTGCGTTGCACCGTCCGCTATAGCTCTCGATGCTGCCGCGCAGTTCCTAGCACAAGCTTCTTTTTTTATTATTTGCTTGAACAATATTACTGCTGCATCATGCAAGCATGTCATTAACCAACAGCAGGAAGCGTGCCTTGTCGATAGCCTCTGAAGTGGTGGCAAATCTCATATAGCCGTGACATCACCGCAGTACCAATAAATTTGATGCACGAAAAATAAAACCAGTTAATTTGCTACTTGTTACTGAAACAGCTTACTCGGAACACAAGAATTACAAAAGCTAATGACACTACACAAAATCTAAAAAGTTCACTCAACACATCTGCCATCGCCATAGGGTATTGGCAATGTAGCGCACACACTCCAGTTGCCAAGCAGTCACCAAGTCCAGCAAGAACACCCGCAGACCCAGCTACACTTCATGAACATACCTGCAGTTATTTAAATATAGAAACCAAACTTCCACTAAACTGGAGCAGCGCTATTCTAAACTGGAGTATTAGAATAGCGTTGCAACACACAGCAAACATCGACTACAACAGCTCTTCTGTACGAACGTCCATGCTTGGCCTTGCACAACTCCACCAGGTGATCGCTCATGCTCATTTGTGACATGGGGCAACATGACACAAGCAATTTACGCGTTTCGCATACGCACCTTCATCGGTTTCTCCAGCCCAAGTTCGCAGAGTGCTTTTAGTAAGCTTCCAAAGCTGTACATCTGCCTCCAATGTAGCGGGACATTCTTCCAGTCACCAATGTTCAACATCTTCCCAACACATGTCGCAAATCACCTTTGCGTTTTCCGAGTGCGCCTGCAATGTCGTGACGTCTGGAAAAGTAAAACGGAGAAAATGAATGAAAAGATTCGGACGAAAGAAGAAACTCGACACGTACACCCGGAAGTGTCCGGAAGGTTCACAAAATCAACGCATTCTTTCAGGATAGCCACCACAGGATCCTCGTCATCAAAGTTGTAGCCGTCGAGCGTGACAGGAACACTCAGATAGTGTCTGTGCAAGGCTACTCATTCTTACACAAAAAATGCTAGGCATACAATAAACCCGAACTAGTCGTGCGCTGCACAACGAAACTCCATTACCAACACTTTTCAACGGAGGGACTTTATTTCGACGTGCCGCGCGCAGAGGAACCTTTGAACACGCCTATCTCGCACCCAGGCCACAGAATACCTACCAGGCGCCGTTCGGCGGTTTACCCTCGCTCCTAGAGACGATTTGTGCCATGGCGCGCCTCGCTCGCATGGAATGCAGTGACTCTGGGAGTTTAAAATGCGAAAAAGCGCCTGTTCACGCTGCGACCGCTTATAAAATGTCATCTGGGTACCACTGCGCTGTGATCTGATGCAAAAACAATCAGCGCGAGAGGAAGAGATTGATGAGCACTGCCTGTGAAGTTCACAGCGCATCGCGGGAATCGTGCTGGTGTGGTGTTTTGCGATTGCACAGATTTTCCGTCCACAACGAAAAACGCTGAGCTCCGCCACGTTAGGACATAATCGCAATCAGCAGAAAAAACTACGAGCCCAGTGAAGTGTACAAGTAAGTATACTTATTGTGTTTATTCAAGCGCGACTCCAGCTCACTTACAACAGCGATTGGCGTGCTACTAGTATGCCTGTAGTATGAGGCACAAAACTATTGCCGTACTCTTTTGCAGGCCGCATGCCAATAATAGGATGTGGTGTGGGCGAAATGAGGTGCTCCAGTATGCCGTTTGTCAACTAGTGCGAAAGGGGCGAATGTAAATGTTATAGCCTGCATGTCAGCAAATGGCCTTCTCCACTGGACAATTGCCGACAAGGTCCACTGGGCTGTCTTCAACGACTTTCTTGCAAAAGTGTCGAGTAAAGTTTCACAGCAAGAACCAGGAATACAGGCAGTGTTCCTGTTTGACAACGCACCAGCGCACCGCCGCGCCGAACAGGCTGTCCTCGCGGCAAGCGACCACACAGTCAAGTGGCTACCGCCATACAGCCCTTTCTTCAATCCGATTGAGGAGCTCTTCTCAAAGTTCAAGGCAGGTGTAAAGGGATTCCTAAGCGAGCGGAGGGATGATCTCCTCACGACACCGGAAGGGATCTCCAAGAAAGAACATCGCCGTGCTCTGCTGGTTGAGGCCGCGGGGCGCTCTATGCAGCACATCCAGCGTGTGGACTGTGCCGCTTATGATAAGCACAATTACACTTTTGTACAAGCTGCCCTCGACTGCCTTGATATGTAGAACACTGCTCAGCAGCATCTATGGGTGCGTGTTTATGAAAATTGCTTTGCCTGTATAATAATAAATTTTGTTTCTCACGGACTTGCCCCAGTTCTCTTTCATCACCCATTTCATAACCAATTTGACGAGCTCGACGTTATCAGAACAACAATTTTTTTCTTGAGGTACGGTAGATGTTTTAAACGGGCATCATCTTTGCTTCGGCGTTGCGAAAACATGTCAGGTAGGTCTTAACTATAGAGGCCAGCTCTATAGGCACTGAAAAACCGGGATTTAGGCACCAATAATAGGTGGCCAAAACACTCTTTCAGGCTTCCAAAATTGTGAATGTAGGCAGAATAATTTTTGACAAAACTCAAATTTTCCAATAAACAGGTGTGGTATCTGTCTCTACGGCATGAAAGCAAGCAAAAATGTTCTAGTTTATAATTGTACAAACGGGTAATGATTTAGCATAAACATGCGTTTTTCCGCGGGGTTCGCAGAATACGGTCTCTCCATTTCTAGTTCAGCATGGTCAGTTAAGTGTGCACCATCGTAGAAATATGCTTCTGGGTCTCTTTCTGTGTGCCATAGCTAAGAAGGGCTATACATGCGCAAATAGTCAGAGTGCCAGGCGCCAGAAGGATTTTTTTTTTTTTTTTGCGGCGTATTAACCTGGCCTAACCACACAGGCTCAATTTTTCTTCTGTCTGTGAACACTTTAAGGGTCGTTACACAAACTTAAGAGTTTTGAGAAGCGTAAAGGAATGAATGCACTGAGCGCTCAAGATCTCATTTACCAAGATTTCCAGTACTACGCGTGGCATAAAGAGGTGACAGGCCAAACTGAACACGGCTTCACCTTCATCTCATGGGCGTGCGCCCCAACATGGTGAAGGTGATAGAATGGTCCTGCCTATGTCAAAGTAGTACGTGACACTGCGAGAACTATTTGAGACAACGTGTGTAATTTGTACAAACTGTTGCCTAAATAGAAGCATGAAAGTTTACAAAAATGTTAGAACACACTGGCGAAATCTATTCGCCTTATTTATTTAATTTCATATCGAGAGAGACGCGAGACTAAGGTGCCTCCATTTTGTTTGCATTGGTGTTCTCGCAGTTTGCGCATTGTGTCGGGGCCAGCATTCACAACGCTGGGCGTGGTTTTTGTGTATCGTCCCTAGCAGAAGATGCAGCGGTGTGACGCTGTGTATCGGGGTAAGGATACGTTATCCAAGCCAGCCTCTCCAAACGTGCGCGCAGATAGGGATCCATCCCACAAAAACTCGCAGTACAATACAAAAGAACATCGAGACGGCAGAACACCGCTTGCACGCACGGGCTGACATGGGCATCTCATGCGAGTGTAGGTTACGGGCGCATGACGTGCTCATGCACGTCGTGTGATGCTCCAGCTCCGAGTGAATTTCATACCAATAGCGGGGAAGGAATTGGACTTACGAAGTCTTCTTAGAGTTAGTGGCGAAGGTTTCAAGCTCACCTCCTGAGATTATGCTTTCGCCGCTTCTAATGATCAAATTAAAATTTCTAGTGACACAAACCTTTTCATTGGGCAGGCAACATTTTCCACTGCCTAAATAAATATTTTCAGGTGACCCAGTGAAGCACCACATGTAAATGACAAACAAAAAACAAAAACTGCATAGATATTGCTTTTTTTATCTGCACTCTACTTCCTTACTTCCCCTGATGACTCTCCACAGTTTCGCATTCATTCTTCATCTTCCTGCCGCTGCACAGAAGCACCTCCTGCTCCATACACATCTGAGCGCACACTGGAAAGAGGCTGAGCAGACGACGCGACATGGATGGTATACATGTGTAGAGGCTAGTCTACCTCCCTCTTGGCTAAAATGCCTTCTGAGTTTGACAGTTCTAAACGTAACTCGTGAAATAAAGAGTAGTTTGCACCACACAGTGTCCCGAAACCTATATTTCGCCCAGTAACATGAATACCGGGCTCAGTGGTACTTGAAAGCAAAATTTCAGGTTAAATAGCGTTTATATAGGCATCGATTTTGAAAACAGACATTTACAGGCACCTATACGAATTGAGGCTACAACGCCCGAAATAGGTGTATATAGGCACTATAAAAGCACTATAAAAGCTCTCCTCGCCCTCTAATTTGTGCTCACGTGTCAAAATGACACGATATGAGCACAAGAAACGAAACAGGCGTTTGCATATAATTCGGCTATAGTCATAACACTGTATATCCTTAATCAAGCATAAGACGCACTGTCTGCCTGCTCCAAAGCTTGCTACAAAAAGATTTGTCTACCACTCCTTCGGCTCAACAATTATTTCATCTGGTTATCCTGTGAAACAAATCCGTTGTAATACAGGGCAGTCCCCATACTTGAGATACATACTATTGCTATTTGCAACTGGCCATTTGCTGATGCGCCATTCAATGCTGTGGCTGACTCGTGCCTTCCTTTCTACATTCTACGCCACGCCGTTTCTTATAGGTTAGTGTGCTTGGAATAAGCGTGCCTGTTTAGTGTAGAACGCCTGTCCGTTCACAGTATTGCGGCCTGGCTGCCCGCATTTTTAAGGCATTCTACGAAACACGAGAAGCAACAAAAAAGACACGTACATCTACCCACACGACGAGCTGGAGTAAACGTGTCGCAGGGAGGTGAGGGTATCGGTTGAATGTTGCGTAATTGAGTATGGTTTGTAAAATGCTTAATTATCATTTCGACTTCATTATTTCTATTTATTGAATGAAGGAGTAGCGCTGCCCGCAACGAGCGATGTGACACTGTTGTTGGGTTGTACCACACTGCTGCTTGAAGGTACTGTTGCTTCCATCGCATCTACACGAGTCAAGAAAAGCGTCAAGTCAAACAAAAGCCATGTAAAGACGCCTTTGACTGAATTCGAAACGCGCGATCTGGTGCCTATGTATACTGGTTAGCTGGTGAACAGCTGTGCAGCGCGAGAAGTTAGTTTTTTACTAGCAGACGCTGCATGCAACGGCCTTCAAGTTAATGTTCTCTCAATGACGTTTCGTTTGATATTCATGAAAGCACGTTAGAGAGTGCCTGCATGACTGTTAGTCGTGATGTCGTCACGTGAGTCAATAGTGATCAAGTCGGTTGGCCGAGTCATAAGTATAACATTATTGCTCTCTCACAGACGTTTCGTTCGATATGCATAAAAACAGGTTAGGACAGCGCGTGCGTGTGTGATAGACGTGATGACGTCACATGAGTCACTAGTATTCACGTCGCTAGGCCTAGTGAGAGCATTCAAGTTATTACTCTCTCTAAGTCGTTTCGTTTGATATGCATGAAGGCAGGTTACAGAGTGCTTGCGTGGGTGTCAGGCATGATGACGTCACGCAAGTCACTAGTGATGACGTCACTGGGCCTTGTGACAGCGTTCAAGTTATTACTCTCTCAAAGACATTTCGTTTGATATGCATGAAGACAGGTTTGGACACTGCGTGCGTGTGGGATAGGCGGGATGACGTCACGCGAGTCACTAGTGATGACGTCACTGGGCCTTATGACAGCGTTCAAGTTATTACTCTCTCAAAGACATTTCGTTTGATATGCATGAAGACAGGTTTGGACACTGCGTGCGTGTGGGATAGGCGTGATGACGTCACGCGAGTCACTAGTGATGACGTCACTGGGCCTTGTGACAGCGTTCAAGTTATTACTCTCTCAAAGACATTTCGTTTGATATGCGTGAAGACAGGTTTGGACACTGAGTGCGTGTGGGATAGGCGTGATGACGTCACGCCAGTGACTAGTGATGACGTCACGCGGCCTAGTGACAGCGTTCAAGTTATTACTCTCTCAAAGACATTTCGTTTCATATGCATGAAGACAGGTTTGGACACTGCGTGTGCGTGTGATAGGTGTAATGACGTCACGTGAGTCACTAGTGATGACGTCACGCGGCC